GAATGTGGCTTGAAAGCTGTCCCACTACATTTCTCTTAATTCCTATAAGCAGAAATATTTGCATGTGAAAATCAGGCAGGTTGTGTTATACAGTTATGTTTACTTAAACAATCTACTCAGTGAGTGCAAGGGTTGTGTGCTTACAAGAGCTAATGACACTGGTGAGGAAAGATAGTGCAGAATTCTGTTTTGAGACCTGGATTAGAGAAACTTTTTAAAAAATTTTACTTTAAAAAAATCTTTTGTACAAATTTAGAGGGGGCAGTGGTAAAATTTGATAGATGTGTACAGTGTATAGTGATCCTATCTGCATAGTTAACATTTCCCTATCTTTATAAGGAATTTTTGCTTAACAACTTAGAATTATATCTGCATGATACAATTGTAGCATTTCAATCCACATATACAATATGTGCTGATCAAATCAGGGTAATTAATGTTTCTATCTCCTAATCATTAATTTGTGTTTGGAGACTTCAAGCTACTTTCTTTTTGTAATTCATAGAATTTATCAGTTTATTTTGAAAGATAGTCACCCCACAGTGCTGTAGAACATCAGAATTTACTAATTTGAATTCTGGTGCTGATTATCTAACGTTCCTCTATGCTCCTTACTCCCACCATTCTCAGCCCCTAGTAGTTCTTATTATATGTTTTGATCAACTATTTTTAACATCCTCATATGAGGATAACCATATGGTATTTGTCTTTTTGTATATAAGTTAGTTCATTTAACATAATGACTTTCAGTTCAGTCCTTTTTCTGCAAATAGAATATCATTCTTTTTTATGGATGAATAGTATTCCATTCTGGACATATCCCACATTTTCTTTATCCATGTGTATGTTGATGGGTGGGCTGATTTCAAAATTTAGCAGTTAAGAATAGCGTTTATAATTAAAGCTCCTTTATTAAAGACATATTTTATAGGTTATAGAATTCTGTGATACTTTGTATTAATGTGCATTTACTTTGTTCAAAATATATCTCCTACATGCACAGAAAACCTTTCTGAGCTCTGTGCATATATGTGGCTTTGATACCAGAGAAAGCAAAGAAGCAGATTTAATGATTTGCTTAAGGATGTGAGTTTTAAAAGGTCAATCAGCATTACGTTGTTTTATGTTCAAAAAATTTTTCTTTTTTTGGATCAAATACGACATCATCAGAATTGGAATGATGGAAGGCATTCAGGTTGACATTGAAGAGTGTAACTGAAAGTGTAGGGAGCATGATGGTGTGATAAGTACTTTTCCTCAATCAACATAAGGATCACAGCCTACACTACTATAACAAAATAAAGCTAATGAGATAAACATAAAAGTTTTTTTTTAAAAAAATAGTTTTATGTGATACGGTAGCCTTCAGAAAGCAAAACCCAAAGGCCTAGGGAAAACTTTCTATTTTTATGCTTAATTTTGATGTAGAATTGACAGCTTGTAACATGTGATTGGGCAAAAGGGTAAAATCCCATGGTAATGGGTTACATAATTGGGGGGACAAAGTAAGACCCATCTCTTTAGTTTTTTTAAATATATTTATTTACTTATCAATGGACCTTTATTTTATTCATTTATATGTAGTGCTGAGAATCAAACCCAATGCCTCACCCATGCTGGGCAAGTGCTCTACCACTGAGCTACAACCCCAGCCCTTATTCAGGATCCTTTGGCCGCTCTGTGTAGCATTTCTTCCCCTGGTTATCAGTAAGGGTCTCTGGAGGGAGGGTTTTATGACCAACATTCAGAAAAGACCTGAGTCACCTTCTTGCTTCTGATGCTCTCTTATTGTTCTTGAATTTAAAGTAGTTTGGGGTATCATTTTCTGAGTTCTGATAAGCCAAAGTGTGGGTCAAAGTTTTAAGTGATAACTAAAGCTAACCTTGGCCAATTTCTAAGAGGAGTTCTTCTTGCTTATGGGACACCTTTTCCTAAACAAACTCAGAATGCATTCATGTGTAGGTCACACCAAACACCATAACAGTTGGGTAGAGTGTAAATGTAATTAGACCAAAATTGCATGAATTTTTCCTGAATAATTAATGATTTTACAAATAAAAAAATAACTTATCCTTTTTGCAAATATGACCAATAGGCAATTGTATTATCTCCATTTTGAAATTTAGAGACTGGGAAGGGATAATTTAAAATGTCCTGATCCAACAGACACTTCATTGTTATATTTGTGGAGGAGAATAGCCTGAGACCTCCCCTAGAACTAAAGCTATTGAAGGACTTACCTGGCCTATGCATGGCTTCTTCCAAGATGGCTTAGAGCAGCAGCCTCGCATTTATACTGGAAGCATGACACCCATGATAAAACCAGTAAGGGGTCCTATGATCTGGCTTCTTATCAAGCTGCTTCACTTTCAGCCTATTTAAAAACTAGTGCTGGTGAAATAGTTATGACTTCCACTTAGTTGTTGAAAGGGGAGGAAAGGTTTTTATCCTCTTGATCTCTATTGGAAGCTGGATTTGCATCACGAGAGAACAGGAGCTGTATTTCATCCAGCCAGGTCTGTGATTTTTATACCTGAGTGCCCTAATAGAGTTGGTGAAGCCAATTATGAGTGAAATCACTGACTCATTCAACTGATATTTATGTGTACATATTTGCTTTCTAAATGTAAATGTATACTGCTCAAATGAGTGTTGTTTAATGAAGATAGTCAGAATTGAAACAACTACAGGATGCGAATGCCAACCAAAGGATGCCAGGGAGAGCAAACCAGATAAGCCTTAAACCAGTACCAAGGAATAAAGGCATCGCTTTAACATTCAGTTTTGCTCTTGGAGTAAAAAAATTGAAATGAATGCAAGATAGGACTTCAAAGCAAGAATAAGTATGTAGTATAGCCAGGCACAGAAAGACGAGTGCTGTATGCTACCACTTAGATGAAATATTTTAAAGTATCAAAATTCATAGAATCAAAAAATAGAATGGAAGTAATTAGAACTATTGGAAAGAGGGAATAAATTTAGTAATCAATAGGCATAAAGTTTCAGACCTTCAAGAATAGTAAAATCTAGAAATCTATAGAATATTGTAGTTACATCCAACAACAATGTATGATACACTTAAAATTTTTAAGGGGGTAAATCTTATATTTTTCTTATAATAAGATAAATTTTATAGGAGAATGTATTATAAATATTTTTTAGCTAAAATTCTTGATGACATGCTACTGACACGTGGTCATAACGATTGCTATTCCAATATAACCCATAGCAGAGAACCACATAATTCTCACAAATGTTCTTTCAATAATAATGCTCCAGTAAATAGATAGTTTTATGTCCATAAGCTATAGATCATACCTAGCTCTGTATATGGTTAAATCTTTGATAGACTTCTTTTAGTTTTTCCTTTTCAAGGGCAGATGATTCATTCTTCATTCTACTTAAATTATTCTAAAGTTATTCTAGCATTCTGAAAATTTAATAAAGAAGAAAAAAAAAAGGGTGTCTGTGGTGGATAAGTTTTTGCAAAGACATTTACTCAATGTGAAATGCAAGATAATAGTCAGTCAAAATAGTGGAGAGGCATGGACATATTTCTTAAATGTGCTAGAACACAGGGTTGGAAAGACTTTGTTATGGTTCAGATGTAAAGTGTCACCTGTAACTCATGTGTGAGATAGAGAAAGAATTTTCAGAGATGAAATATTATATCATGGATCCATATACTGATACGGACTAACTGGGCAGTAACTGTAGGCAAGTAAGATGTGGCTGCAGGCTTTAGATCACCAGGGTCATGACTACAGGGTTTATATCTTGTCCCTGGTGAGCGGAGCTCACTCTCTGCTTCCTGTTTGCCATACCTTGAGCAGCTTTCCTCCACCATACCCTTCTACCATGATGTTTTGTCTCACCTTGGGTCTGAGCTATGTGATTGGCTGAACATGGACTGAAACTCTGAAGCCATAAGCCAAAATAAATGTTTCATGTTCTAAATATGTCTTGTGTAAAGTTTTTTGGTCACAGTGACACAAAATTGAACAAAAACAGACTCCTTCCATGATCCTTGTAGGACATAGGTCATAATGATATGAAAAAAACCTTAGGCATTGTAGAGGGTTGATACGTTGGCTACCAGTTGTTCTTTGACCCACCAAAAACCTTTGTGAACATCTACTTTCTACAAAGAGATTCGGTAAAGAGTAAAGTGTGGTGTTTAAATAAAACCAATCACATACATTTAGTTAATTTTTGACAAGGGTACTATTTTAATCACCTTTTTCACTACCATGACCAAAAGAACTGACAAGAACAATTTTAGCTTGCAGTTTCTGAGGTTTCAGTCCATACATGGCTGACTCCATTTCTCTGTGCCTGAGGTGTGGCAGAAGAGTGGCGTTGGAGGAGAGCAGCTCAGAACATGGCCTCTAAGAAGCAGA